TATTATTATTATTATTATTATTATTTTATTATCATTGAGATTAATATTTTTTCTAGTATCTCCGTTGCTCCAATTTCATGTTGCATCCTGCACTGCCTGAGGTGTCTTGGCCCTGACAAAGGTTTAATAGCAACCCACATACTTATCTAAATATTGTTGATGAAGGCTTATAACACTTAGAATTACAAATAGTCCACTTCAAACAACGAGATGTTGTATCAGAACAAAGTACATTTTGTATAAGGTAGAACAACGGAAAAATACACAGAGACGCCACAGTAGAATATATCGTCGTCCAGTTGTTCAAATTTTAATGTTCGAGTACTATGCTCCAAATGTTTAAATTGCAGTATCTTATTAGGCTTAATCGTGTGTCCAAAAAATATTTTGCCTAATTTCAATTGCTTAAAGTTGAAAAAAGCAACCAGAACAACAACAACAACAACAACAACAACAACAACAACAACAACAACAACAACAACAACAGCAGCAGCAGCAGCAGCAACAACAACAACAAAAGAATATTAATATTAATTTTTCAAAGATTGAAACAGTTTAATTTCATCTTCTGAAAAACAATTCTATTTCAAGACTGTATAATATCTGAACAGCATGCAGGCGATTTTGAACATCTACATCAGAGTATAGATTAGATAAAATTGCACGTCTTATTTTTACCAGTAGATTGATGCACCTTCAGCTCATATGTAGAGGGCCTGATTAACATGCGGCATGGTGCCCTATCCTGAGATATTGCTTAGTTGTAAACTTCATAATGGCTTAGCTAATAACGTAAATACTGCTGAACCTGATTTTCACGACCACCTGAATGAGATAATCCCCTGTACAAACGGTCACTTCCCACTTCTTCTCATTTGTGGTTTTTTAAAACTTTATAATAACACCGTGTAAAACGATTACCAGTCTAAAATGAACATTTTTCTCCTCGGCAATGAATGGGTGGCCGTCTCAGCAGACAGTTTTGACTGCTGATTGCTGAACGCGTCATTATCCAGTAAAGGTGACAAACCATTCATAGTGAACAGAAACCTCTCTTTCCCTGTGCCGTTAGCTCAGTTGTTATCGTGTGGGGCTGTGACGTGGATCGCCCTAGTTCGAATCCTCTATGAGCCCCTCTTGACTTTGGGTTCTCTGGGGTGGGGGAGAAGCTTTTAATCAATATAATACGTTACTAACTCCTGAGCTGACAGACTGGCGTCTTTAATATACTGGTTAGACTCCTTGCAGTTAAGCGCAGAAAACATGAGTTCGATTCTCGAATGAGGTATTAATCGTCTTAATTTTAACCAAACATCCCCGTATATTTTCTGGGATGTTTTATCTCAGCCCAAGGTGGCCCTGGCGGTCAGTGTCAAAGCATCCTGTCTCCTAAATTGTCTAAGCTGTGTTGACTGGGGCGTAAACTATTTGCATTATGTTTGAGTGCTGTACTATACTATGTTCTAGCATTCGCCATCGCCAAATCTGGTGACCGCCTACTAAAAATAGAATGCCAAAAATCCCATAAAATGATATAACCCAACTTGGAAGTGACCTTACCCGTTTAGAAAGGTGTTAAGTTCTTGCAAAACGTAAACAAAGCAAAGCGAAGAAAGCTCTGCCGTGTTGCGATAAAGCGAAGGCAAGACCGTCCCATTTAAACGAACGCCGCTTGCGGTCAAACAAGGATTGCCTCCCCCCACGGAAGAGGACGCCATTTTGCGACGACCCAATTGCCATTGCCCAGTCTGCTTCGGCTCCCAAGGGGAAAGAACTCTTGTGTGTTTTCCCTCTGAGGGTCTCTTCACCTTCCCAGTACCGAACCTCTTGGAGCGAAGCGCAAAAGAGGTAGAAGGTAAGGTAAGGGATAGAGACTAAGGTGCGCTTTTTTAGGGGAGGAGGCGGAGGAGATTACACAAGGGAGAAGATAAAGAGAGAGAAGGAGAGAAGGGAAGAGGAGAGAGAGAGAGAGAGAGAGAGAGAGAGAGAGAGA